CCCCCCCCCCCCCCCCCCCTCTTCGTTGTAGTTCTCCCCAGCCTCCGACAACGACAACCCCCGCCCCCCCCCTCCACCCCTACTTATCGGCTCGGTCACTTGTAAGTCGAAGATGCAGCATGCAGCTACAGGGATGCAGCCGAGGCATCTTTGTCGCTGGGCACAAGGCCCGCATCCCGTGCAAAACATACAGGGCATAGCGGCAGACTGCATTCTCAAGACTTCGATTGCCGTACAGCGGCAAGCCTGCGTGTAAGAACCGATGTTGGTTCAACGAGCCATTCATATTGCAGTCGTTTCAGGAGTTCTCAGGTGTTCACGGTTGGCTGAGAGGTTGTGTGCAGAGCTTGTGGCTCAGCTGGGAGAGGTGACAACCGATCGGCTGGCGATCCCTTTCAGCCCCTTAACCGCACCTGTCCTTCCTGGCAGAATGAGTTCATCATTCTGCTGCTGCTGAGGCTGCTGCTCAGTTTCAGCTGCACTGCTGCGGTTTCCTCAGCATGTTCCATCTCAGGCAAGGGCCGGTATTTGCTGTCAATTTACTCGAAGAAGTACTTGGACCAGGGAACAGACGAGGCACGATTGCTGCAACGCTTTTGGGGGTCAGCAAGTTCAGGGGAGGTGGCAGGTGCAAGGTCCTCAAGAGAAATCGGGTTCTCTGGAATGACGGTGTCAGACAACTTGAACAATAGAGTCCGGTCGGTCTAGCCTGGGGTTGCTTGCTGGGACTTGTGGACTGTTTGCAATCACGTTATCCTCGCGCTGCGCGAGGATCCAAAGCCGATCCAAAGCTCCTCAGGTGAATGTGGATGTCCATGCATCGTGATACGAGTCCTCCAGGCCTATCGAACCGGCACGGGGCAAACTGCACAAGAAAGTCCAACAGACTTAGGCGAGAGTTCGGGAACCGCATGCGCGGAAATCGTAGCATCTATTTCGGGAGCAACATCAACATGGAATTGCTTCGTGTCTCTGGGAAAAGCACGGATGTCCCGTCCAGGAGCGAGAAGCGAAGGCCGAGCGCAACAAGAAGAGTCTCGGCTCAAGAGTTCTTCGGAGAGAGGTTTGAAAGCTCATTGAGAGCTATGTCTCATGTACAGGGCCCGGCTTTGGCCTGCTTGGGCACGAGGCTTACCACCTGCATTCCGAAGGTTTGTTCCTGCTAGCGCGCCAATGTATGCAACGACAGCCCGGAAGATTCAACAGCGAGGTCATATACTCGACAGGTTGAGTCGAGAAATTTCGAAGCCAATAATTATATCGTCGCCCAGCAGGACAGTTTCGGAGATGCAGCGCTTGATGAAGGAGGGAGGCCGATCCAGCAAAGATCATAAGGAACCTTTGACGGGTGAGGGGAGGAGGGTATACAGGGACTGCAGTATACTTCCTCAAATTGCCTTAAGTCTTTTGTCAGCTCCTCATTATAATTAAAGGCCCTGGCCCTCCTTGCCTCAACCTTTATCTCGGAGAGTCCTTGCGGAGTCTTTTGCAAGGATAAGATGAAGTTCGCATACCGAAGCGGAGCTTGAGTCATTTGCAAACTGGCTCCCTTGCAGGCCACATCTTCTGGGTGGCGCCGTCAGGTGGCCGCGACCGCAGGACTCCTTCAAGCTATGCTTGGTTCAGGGTTTTTTTCAAACAATCGGTCGCGGTTGAAGGGCTTCGTGAAAAGCAGCCGCGAGACATCGCGAGACTGCATGCTTAGGCTGCCTGCCTGTGTGACTTTCGTCAGAATGTTGAATGTGACAGCCGGAAAACCAAAGCAAACATGACCCTCTTGCGGCCCTTGGAGGCGACCGGAGACGGATCGATTCGGCCCCGCGAAGTTCGACCAGGCCCCTTGCCAGCATAGCGATCAGGAAGAGCTTAGGGCTTAGGGCGGGTTTTCTAGCCTGGGAGCTGGGAGGCCCGGCCTCATCAGGACTCCCGGCGCAGTAGACGATCGCGAAGCAAATCCCAGATGTGTTCCGGAAGCTACAGCTGCACCGGGCCTCTCTTGCGATCTTTGTACACATGACCAGCCACAGCATCCGCAGCCAGTATCGACGGGAAGCTATTCAGAGGATATGGTGTTAAACGCTAAGCCGCGAAGCCCTGAGCCAAGCTTCCACGGGGGAACTTTTTTTGGCACCTTGGAGCAGGCATCCGTGGGCCTGTTCCTGCTCCTGGCTCAAAAGGCTTGCAGAGTAAGGGCAAGTGAGGATTTTTTTGGAGAGATCTTTGAAGTTTAGCCAGCATGTGAGATGCCGCAGGCTCAGTTTAATGTCTTGCCAGCATTGCAGTGCTTGCTGTCAATCGAAGAAGAGTTACAGTTCCACTCCCAATCACCGAGACCGGGTGACTGATTCTGTTGTAGTTGTTGTGATGCGTGCGAGTGGCACGCTATGTTCGGTCACGGTCCGTCGGTGGCTCTTTGATTGAAGTTACACACACCAAGAGCTGTCCTGCTAGATACCAGCAGCAGAGTCGCGCCAGCTGCGTGGCCCCACCCATTAAGAAGCTTGCAGATAGGCCGATGGATCAGTTCTGAAGTTTGGCCACTTGAAGACTGCCAGGAAACCAACAAGCGTGTTTAGGATCGTGCATCGGGTCGCGGGCTCGTCAAGCCTTGGCTTCCAAAGAGTGCACCAGGTCTATTCGATCCTCAGCTCTGTGACTCTGCATGCCGGCATGTGCAAGTCAGTTTGTGACAGGCCGGTCGCGGCGGAGGTCCCAAAACCCATTTCTTCCCTTTGGCAATGTGGACCCACAGGCCGGCAGAGTCTCAAGCTTTGGGATGTTCTGGGACAAGGGGCAGTGGGCCTCAGTAAGACAACAACGGGGGGTGTCCCTTCGCTCATCGCTTGAATACGCCTGCATCTTTCAAAACTCTGCGACTTGGAGAGGCAGGTTCACATTCAGCTTGTAGGATGCCGAAGTCTGATTCTCAGCGCTGCGTGCAGGCTAGTGCCTCCGCCGGAAGATGCCAAAGCTGGAGTTGGAGAGGCGCAGCTGGGTTCAACCAGGGTTAGCACAGGACAGCTGTTGGCTGTACTTCAGATGCAGGAAGTGCAACAAGATGACTTGTTATTATTTCGTCTATGATAGTTAGAGAGCTCGCAGACACAGTCGCTGTCTACTTCTGGAAGGTCGACTGTTCGCAGAGATGGCGAGAGTCACGCAACGGCGTAATGTGCATCGTGAGAATTTCGAGCATCCAGTGATTCAGAAATTGCATGAACTGCTTTCTGGAGTGCTTGAGGGCTGTGGAGTCGCATTCGTCTTCGAGTAGAGTGCTACGCAAGGGACTTCAACAGAAGCGCGCAGCATCGTTTCTGAGTGGAGTTGTTTATGTGTGTGTGTGCTGAGCTAGTGTACCGCGTACCTTCTAGCAGGCTTCCCGGCAAATGCTCCAGATTCTAAAGTCATTGCAACTTGATCCGGCTGCACTTAAAGGTTGTCACATTGTCCATCTCAAAGAGAGGCGGAATGCTTTTTTCTTCCTGCTGCTAGTACTAGCGACTAGCTTCTCGTCCGGATAGGCACGGAGCGCTGCGAGGGCTCCGGTGGGACTGGCATTTGGAGAGGCTGCGGGAGGTTTCTGAGATATTCGAAGCTGTACCCTTTGTCGCATCCGGTTCTTGGCTGATTCTGGGATCTACGCTTAGGTTCGTCCCAGTTTCGGCACCAGGGAGATGGGAGCGTCGTCCGTCACCTGACAAAAAACTGCAACCTTGTCAGGCGATTGAGCCGAAGAGGGGCAGTCTCCGGATGTTGAGGGTCTGACCGCTTGCGACTTCTGAGTCTTTGCATCATTCAGGACAGTGGGCGTCTCAACGCGTAATTTGTGCAAAACCCAGAGGCAGCCCCGAATCCTCAGTGGCTTTGGGACGGGTGCTTGCCTGCCACGGTGTTTCGCGAGTCTTTTTCAGATCTGTGTTCGAAGTCCGACGCATTTTCTTGAGTCATACGTTGCATTTAGCAAAGACCCGTTCTGGAGCCACAATCGCCAGCAGCAAGTCTCAGACGAGTTATCTGAAGGCAATGGATGCAGAACAGCTTGGCGGCCGAAAGAAGTTTCCACCAGCCGTGGAGAAGCGTGTCAACGAGCTGTATGTGACTTGGCGTGACGCGCAGTCGTACCTAGAGTCTAGAACTTGCCTTCTGGCATCTCGAATCTTCACGTGTCATTGACCTTGGGATAGGTATACCGACAGTATAGCGTCTGAAGATCCAGGTACAGTAAGACCAGAACCCAGTTTGTAAGAATCAGCTGCCGTCGCTGAATTTTCGATCATCTCGTGGACCGTTTCCTCCGGTCTAATCTGTTTGCGAAATCGTTTGCCGAAAACCAACCCGACAGCGGATTCTGCGGCCAAGGACTCTCTGGATTCTCGGATGCCATGACCCGTGCCATTACGTCGGTATTGGACACTGATGGGTTTCAGCGCATTTGAGCAGTATGGAGGAGCGAGACACTGGCTTTGTTTTGGCATCAGGGTTGGGTCGCAGTTTCCGTCAGCATGGCATGGTATAGTCTTATCTCGAATTCTAAAACCAAGTCTTCTGGTGAGAAGCAGCTGTTCATAGTGCGGATGTAATGCGGCGCCATCGCTGCCCGGTTGAACTCAAAGAAATCAAGGCTGAGACTTATGCATCGGGGTCGACGAGCATTTTTCAGACACATGGGCCTTCATCTGGCATGTGCGAGCTTATCAGCACTCCTAGAGGTCCTAAAGCCAGTATTCACGAATACCGCAAGAGCGGCAAACAATCTCGTGACCGGTGCTGTAGCATGGAGTATTTGGTGCCCTGCACTTTTCCACCATGCGGGCCCAGATTTTACAAAGGCAGTCTTTGCCACAACTCGTGCTGTCGGCTTCGTTAGTGGGAGAGCTTGCTGTATGCAAAGCTGAACTGGCTTCAGCTTCTCAAAGCCACTCGAAGAAGCCGTGGATAGCTTGCTTGAAATGTTTGCTCAGCGTCATCTCGCTGGCTTGTAATTAGCAGCATTGCCGTTCTTGGGAAAGGGCTGCTGTGAAACCAGTTTTCCCGTGGCAGTCATTGCCTGTCTTTGCTTAACGCTGTCGCGACCTGAGCTTTGTCTTCACACCCAAGAACTCACGTGCACGCACACACAGCTACCGTCCGATGGGTGCAGGTAGGCAGGGACATGCAGGGAGGGATAGGAGAGGAGAGATCGAGAGAAAGAGAACGACATGCCAGAGAGCACCGGAACTAATCCCTTAATTCCCCTTATTTCTGAACGGCCCCCCCCCCCTCCCCCTAGTTCCCAATTCAAAAGTCGTAAGGAAGTTTTCATCTCTATTTTCCCATTCGAAATAGGTTTCAAACGGCGCGGCATGATTTCGGGTGGGTTTGCCGGACAGTGTTTTTAGGATTAGGGGGGTGTTCAAGAAAACGGGGAAGCGATTAGTTTGTGCAAGAGGCAGGCTATCCAAGCCAGTGAAGCAGAGGAGTGCATCGAGTAAAAAAAGAATTAAGAACCGACGTTCTGAGCAGGTGTTGAGCGGAAACGTTGCGGATTTGGGCACAATGAACACAGTCTCTGGATGCCTGTCTTAAAACCTGAAACCTGCCCGGGGAGTGTCCCAAATCAGCCTTGCGCAATCTGTGTGGCTTATCCAGACGGGCCGCTGAGCCATTCTGTTTGATTAGAAGCCGTGTTCCAACAAAAAAATCTGGCTCAACCCTGTGATGCTAAAGTGCCATCCTGCAACAGCTGGTATGGATTCGCTGTTGTTCCATCCGAGCCGAGACATGCATGCTCAAGCCGAGCAACTGAAAAGTATGATTTGAGAGCTACCCCGACACAGCAAAAGCATACAGTAAGGGAAACAGGGGCGAGACGTCAGACTGCCTCACCGAGCAAAGCTGCAAGCAACGTGAACATACTCCACGATTTCGCTTGCATGTCACTTTTGCATACCGCAGCGTGAACCAAGCCTGCCGAGCCGAGAGGATGTGCGTACAGCCGGGGGGACAGCCAGCCCCGAAAATGAATGGTTATACCTGGTTTCTGCAGCAGGCGAAACTGAGCGGCATATCGCCCACATCCGCAGCGATGTCCGATGCAGGTGGCTGTGGGGAACGAATGAAGCATCCTGCAAGCCGTCGCACGGATGATCGCCTCCTACAACCGAGAAGCAAGCTACACCGCGGGGACGCCGCCTATGCCGAGACCTGCCTCGATGCCGTCTACATAGCCGTCGACTACCAAGACAGCGCCCGCTACATGATCCCCGACTACCACACCTCACCGTTGACAAACCAGCGTCTGCTACACGATCCCCCACTTCCACGCCGGGGCAACGCAAATGGAAAGCCGCGATTCGTTCCCGAAAACATCTTTGGGGCGGAGGGCCGCGGCCGATGATTCACCACCGCCGAACGAGGGGGAGCCGAACGCCCAGTGACGACACAGGTAGCGCTCCACGACGACACTTAGACTTATTCTGGGAAGCTTGCGAACCAAGCGAGGAAGAGGAAGCAGAGTCGGCGGAAACAGACGAAGAGGCCAGCTGCGCGGAAAACGTGGGGACAACCTGATAGCTTCGAGCGGCAGCGACGACGGCAAGCGGAAAAGTCGCTAAAGGGGGGAAAAGACAAATCGGTAAGAAAGGCAAAAGTCGAGAGCGTCGAGATTTGAGCCAGACAACCGCGTGACAACCGCCAACAAAGTAAGTTGCCAAAGAAAGCTCCCCGACAAGCAGGGTCGTAGGAGGCAGGCCGTTGCTCTGAGCTTGCAGCTTGCTGTAGGCTGTAGCTGGGATAGGGGAAGTCGCCAGGTTGCCCTCTCCAATCTTGTTTTGTGTCACTTGAAACCAGCCACACCAACTGCCGTGCGCAGGGCGCACAGCGAGGGGGGTCAGGGTTCGGCATTCTTCGAGCCAGTAGAGAGAGTGAGGCGACGATTCGATAGAGCCAAACTGCATGGAAAATCAGGCAAACAGACAAACAGACTCACCCCTCACTCCCCAACCCCTGCCGTATTGGGTCTCACACGCACACACACACGCGCACACACACACACACACACATACAAACACACACACACACACACAAACACACACACACACACACAAACACACACACACACACAAA